AGCTGTGGGTGGTGCAGCCCAAGCAGCCCCTGGTCCCTCTGTAGGTGCAGGCGTCCTGTGGCTGGCCACAGTGACAGGAAATCCGAATCCGGATGCCGCCGACCATATATATATATAGTATATATATATATATATATATATATATATATATATATATATATATATATAATATATGAGGTGTCTTGCTGGCACTCTGAGAGTGCTTGAGATGCGGAGGGTGACTTAATCAGTTGCGACATGTCTAATGTGCCGGCACCGACGGGATCCCGCCAGAAATGCGTAATCACGGCGGACTGGCGTTGGTCACTAAGCTGCACCACTTGGTGTAACTCTTGTGGATTAAAGAGAAAATGCCGGCTAGTTTTGGTGGACGTCGTTATGCTACTACATTACACGGTCGAAGGGAGGAAGTAATGTTGTATGAATTATCGTGGCATCAATTTGGTGAGTATTGTTGGGAAAGTGATCACTCTAATCCTGCTCAATCGGTTCGTCACTCAGGTCGTTGAATCGAAGGTGACGAGAGAGGGATGTGAACAATGCACGATGATTTTAGTCGGATTCAGCTTCAGTACTTTACTAACCCCATGGGTCGTCTGTTGGGTTATCGAAATATGTTAATGAAAAAGTGCATTTATTAGTTCTACTCTCATAAGATTGGACTTAGCGTATGTATTGCAGGAGCCCTGTACTTCAAGTGTTTCCATATCTTCAACTGGCGAAAAATGTACATCAAATGTATTTCCCAGGACTAGAATGGAGAAGTGTCTAGTGATATAAAGTAAGTGGCGGAGTGCGTCATCCAACTGACTGTTAAATATGGCTGGTGTAGGTGCGCAGACAACCGATTCGGCGAGAGCGTTCCATGGTTGACACGCGCAAATGGAAAAGAATTTCTACGGCACTCCAGACGGCTGTACTTTTCTGCTAATTTCATGGAGTTGACTCTAAGTTTGGTGTTTCTGCTGCGTTGCAGTGGATTCCGTTCGTGTCGCAGCACCATAAGCTATAGTGTTTGCGGCTTCTCAGTTGAAGGAGAAATGCAGAGAGCGGCACCAGCAATTGTACTTGCTGTTTGACTCAGCGAACCGCGAGACACCATGGCTGGTGTTGGGTTGGTTTGGTTTTCCGTATGTGTTTTAGTTTAATTGAATGTCTGGACCGTGATATGTGGGTGAGGGTGCAGCTCTGTGGACGAACCTCGGGTAACATAATCACACTTGTGACGGCCTTTTTAGGTAAATGAAAACATTTTCTAGTGCATCGACTGCGAATGAGCTGAAAATGTACATAAGGAATGCAAATTGATTCTCAGTTTTATTGGGGCATTAGAGTTGATTGTTATTTCGGTGTGTCATCTGATGTTACATTGGTAGGTCCCCTTGAGAATATGAGCACGAACATTTCAAAAGTTGGTTTTTGCCTAATAGAAAAATGGGGTTTAACACAAATATTCTATTTTGTATAAACTTTCTTTACCCACGTGAAGGTTGTTTTGCTTAAGGGTATCCAGTAGTATCGGATATTGGTTGTGGCGCTCACATGATACTTGGAGCAACAGATGCCTAGGAAATTTGTTTGTGGTGAGATTCATTGTATTGCGTGGGCAAAATACTGTCAGGTTGCCCAGGCCTAGACGGGGAGAACGATAAGGGTTCCTAAGCAAAGCGAAAACCTGTCCACGTGGCAGCGGGTTTGGCACTGGGCTACAAGGAGTCCGTTTTAAGGAATAAGGAGCCACCCTCATTCCAACCCCAACCTGGAGGACCAGGAGGCTGAGTTTGTCTGGCTTCTAACCATTGCCCATATCTGGTATGAGAGGCTCTGAATGTGCAAAAATGCACCACTCAGTATAGCTCAATGGATCACTGAGGCACACAAACCATCGCACCACGGTAAGGTCCAGTCTCTAGCTAACGTGTATGATGATGATGATGATACCTAGGAAAGGGAAGTGTAAAAGTAGACTGAGCTGCAAGTTATAGGAAGATTAAAGCTAAATGCACAGTATTAACTAGTGGCGTGTACAGTTTATTTCTTTCTCTCAGTACACACATGTTCTTCATAACATTGGGATTGACATTGCGATGAAGCAGGATGGATGAAAACGAAGACAGTGAGTGTAGAGGTTTTCCCAGTGCAATATTCCCTTTCTTTTGTAGACAATTTCCTGCATCAAAGGAATCCTGGGACTTAGTCTTATGTTTGGCTATTTGTTATGTGACATCTCAATAGGTGGATCACGTTTCGCACGGTCAACTATTTGCTGGTCTTCTTTTGTAAACTTCGTACTCTGAATTGTAAGCACGTAGTTCGGATGATAATTTACTCCAAATTCTGGTATACCTGTTAAGGAAGACAGTGATGGATCTGGTGGTCTTCGACCTGTATTTTCCTTATTTTGTGTTGTATAATGCTAATTATTTTGTTGCCACGTTAAGGTTGGAACATACATTTTCTTGTGCAGGACATCCAAAAATATGATTTGGTTGCCTTTCATGCTCCCCAACCAGATGGGGCCAAGTTTTAACATAGTTTGCAATATTTTACTAGGCACTTTATGCATGTTCGTTGTACATTTCCTACTACAATGCGGTCTCATTTGTTTGTGCTACTTTGCACCATCAAGCAGCATTTCAAAGGGGAACGAAAAAATGATGAATAGGCGCAGAGTATAGATTCTTTTAATTTGCATGCAATACATAGCATTCAAATGCTCTGTATGGCCTTTGCAGTGATGTAAGCTACTTGTTCGGAGAGAGTTGAGCGAGCATGAGTATCTCAGTCCGGGTCCCGAACGATGTGACATACATTAATTGGCTTATTACAATTTTTCAACCCCCCTAGACTTTGTCGCATTTGTAAGACATTGCGTAACACTTACTGTCGTAAATAACATTCCCCACTATGAGCACCAGGTCCCGAGCGCCTGAATATCGAGCTGGATCATGTTGACAGCTTCGTTTGTGACACCAGCATGAATCAGTGTAGACAATTTTGTAATCGTCGGCATAAGCGTACGGTATTCCAAATTTCGCTGCGTTAAACATATCGTTAACACACATCGAGAACAGTAGAGGACCAAGGACACCGCCCAGTACTATTCCACTCCTGACTGTTGTTTGTTCAACTTTGCATTTCTGAATTTGTACTACGTGCCTTCGATTGGTAAGATACGGTTTGAAGCACGAAAGTAAAGGTTCTCAAACTCCACACGACCTTATATTGGATATTAGTTTTCTGCGTTGCACTCCACCAAAAGCTTTGACCATGTTGAAGTAAATAACAGCCACAGACTTGCCGTTATCCGTTGAGTAGTTAGAGGATGATTGTTTTTTGCAGTTTGATCCCTTTTTCTAACATCTTGATTTTATCGCGGATTCCATGATAATCCATTTATTTCATATGCTCATTTAGTCAAGAGTTATGTCAGCATATTCGTATGCTTTATTTGATTTATTTTATTTGACGCTGTCATTGCAAGTGATTGGCTGTTGCTTGACATTCCCGGTGTGGCTGCGATTAATGTGCATGTTGACAAGGTGTCTACCTGTCTATTACCCTGCGCCTCGATTGCATTGCCTCCAGGAAACACTTGGTCGTTGCTAGAGAGGATGGGGTGCACAGTTTTCGTGACCGTACTAGACTCGAAGAGTGGTTCCATGCAAGCCGTGTGGAACGGGCTACCGTTCAGCCACCATTTTGTGTACATCTGGCACGCATGGTTTCCCAACTGCGCATGAATGCTTCTGCTCTGCTAGCTGAAGGAGTGTGGGCCGACTCCGTTGATGAAACCTGGCTCCCGTCCACATGCCTCCCGTTCTTATTCCTTCGGGTTTACACGGGATATGAAGTATGTGGATCGAGCTGTGAGTGGTGCAGCGCAGACTATCCATGGTCCCTCTGTAGGCTCAGATGTCCTGTGACTAGTTACAGTGGCAGGCAAATCCGAAGCGGGATGCTACCAACCGTATATTAATATATATATATATATATATATATATATATATATATGAAACCATATTATGGGATTTACTCCATTAGCGGAAGTACCCATGAACATCGTATGTATCTTTGGTGAGCTGTACTTCCACGAATTACCCCTAATCTTCTGTTTTCCGTCGTTTTTAATGGGATTTTGTTGTGTTTGCAAGGCTATAGTGTTGGATTGCTGTTACCACTTATTCACTTCTTCATTATGACTACTAAGAAAGGGACAGCGAACATGGAGTTCCGCGTTTTTTGTATTTTCCTGAGTTCATTCTGGATTGCCAGTATTGTGTAGCCCGCGGCTTGTCAGTTTATCATTTAACCGGCCCGCTGCGAAAACAGTTTGGTAACCTATGCTCTGCATGCATGAGCACATTCTTAGTCGATGCCTGCTACATGAGTGCTAGTGCAGAAGTAACGACGGCTAGCCGCACGTTTTGTACAACATACCTAAATTCCTGGGGGGTTGAAGGTTAGCAATCAAACACTTCACACTAGCAGTCAGTGAGCTATAAGCCAAATGTGTGCACTTATAGTGCTCTGTTTTGGTGGTTTGATGCGGTTTCCACCGAACGAGATGGCTTATGGTTACGCCGCGTACTAAGACTGGTTGTACATATTGATTTGCCATACACAGGTAGAGAGCCGTAAATGACAAATACGACTGAAATGGGACATGTCTAAACAAGAACACGACTATTTTTCTGGTTATCATAGTTGAGCACACTCAATCGATTATGCCAAATGAACATGGACGACCGATTTTGAGTATACCACGCATGACTCATTCTTGTGACCATCTTACCATTAATTGGCATTCTGGTAAAGCCACGTCAAGTTAAATCCAGTATTTCTCTCACGCAGACGAGAAGGGTTGTGTAGTTGACAGTCGTTGACGTGATAAATCAACCAGGTGGCTCTTACATGTAACCGCACTGAGGCATCTGTCCTACTTTCGAAACGCCAATGGACGGTGGTTGTTTTGGGGCAGCTAATACCTGTTTTTTGAAATGGCCAGATTATTGAATTCTTTGGTCAAATTTCAGTATCCGGTATTGTCACCTACTTGTAAACGTGATACCTATGCTAATACTTGTATTCACAGATACTACTGGAAAACGGATCAGGATGGTCAGGTGCCGAAACACGCATTGGTAGCTGGAATCTCGAAGTACAAGGAACCTCTGTATGTGGTCCGGGCCTGCATCGATGGCCAGTTCATAGTGGGCAAAGTAAGAATCGCAACTTGCGTGAAATTTTAAGAGTCAACATTTCAATGAGCTACCATTTTTTCCTATCACGTACTAGTATCGTGTTGAATTATACCATAGACCACTGCCTTAAGAGTATCGATCTCACTGAGATTCTGTGAGCTTTCATGACAACGCAAGTCCTCCTCCTTGTCTTCATCCAAGTGAATGGGGTTTCAATGACTCAGTGTAGTGTTTGCTGGATCGGGCAAGCATTCGGTTCACCGCTTTACAGGCATCAGACTAAAGAACCAGGCAGGCATGCTGTAGATGTATGATTTGTGTATGAAGTTGCAAAACATTACACTGGCCCATCCTTAATGGATCCAACCGGTGTGGTGTGGTGGCATCCTTAATTTGTTTACAACCACCACACGACGTTGTAATCAGTATTCTCAATGGTAGCCTTGATGATCTGTTGTGAACCTGGATGGAACTCTTTTGCCTGCGCACTGGATAGGGAAATCTTATGTAAAAGCTTTTCTAGAGGCATTAGCGACTTTCAATTTCATTTTCTCCTCCATCTGCAGAACCGCGTCTTCAGGCGGCCGCGTTTGTATGCTGCAGAGGCGGAGATGAAAAACCTAAGGACGATCCACTGCAGTATATCATCCGGTGACAAACGCCACGGGTGGTTCGGGTTGGTGATCCTGTTCTCTTGCCTATGGCCGAGCCTATTAGTTTTGATTAGTTCATTTTCCTTCGAACGTATAAGTCCAATTTTCACAATCGTATACACACCGTTTCCGCAGGGGCAATCAAAGGGATAGTTAATTGGTGACGACTGTGATTTTACATGTAAACATCTCGAGAGCTGTCTCTTGTCATTGGAATGTCCGGTGTTGGTCAGACGGTTGATTTACGCGCTACTGGCTTGCCGAACAACCCCTGTTTGACAACCGACCAAAGTAAAGGCGTCTGAACTGAACTATCACTCACCGGTTCCCAATGGGTGAGATTCCATGAACTCGTTCCGCTGCCATGCGGGCAGGCTATTCAGCCAAAGTCTCGGGGCGCTGTCCCCTAAGCCGTCACCCTATCTCGGCTTGGGCAACCTTGGCAGTATCGTATTCTCTGAGGAAACCATGCGACGACTGTACCTCCATTTGATTTCCATGGCTTTTGACGGCTTGTTTATTGACAGACATTTGCATATATATATATATATATATATATAATGTTCACTTTAAATTGGATGTTTTTCAAACCGCTTTAGACGATTTGCAACCCACTTTGAACATCTTGCAAACCACTTAGGACGTTCAGCAAAAGCAATCGGACGTTTTGCAAAACTCATTGGAGCATTTGCAAAGCATTTTGGACACATTGCATTTTAAGCAGCAAATCAGTAATTCGTTAGCAAAAATTGAAGAGAAAGACGACTATGAACATTGAATAATGATTTATCACGGGTAGAAAAGCATATGCTTGACAAGTCCTTTAGGATGGTTGTAGTGCAAATTAAAATTGAAAGTATCAACCATTAAGTAAATCATTATTTTAAGCATCTACCGATTTAAGTGCATGACTGCATAACGATAGTTTGAAGTGGGAATGGGATGTACACACACAGTTGTATAGAGAGCTGTTACAGTTCAGTAAATGCGTAAGAGAGAAAAACGGAAACGACAACGCTTACTCGTGTGTCGCTTCATTTGACAGATATAGTATATTAATCCAGTTTAGATACATCCAAGCTACTCACATGGACACTTTTACATGTATCCTCACCGCGACGTTCCGGAGAGCGCCGTTAAGCACGTGGTTAGGTTTGCGTTATTTCGTCCTCCAAGTGGAACGGACTATATCAAGTAATGCAAGTTGGAAACCGTGTCCTCAAGACGTTTTTTTGAGTGTTAAAGTAGGGGCAAGGATAACGTGAGTCGGAAGGGCATTCCAGGCATGGGACACACGGAGGGAGAAAAGGTTTCGTCGACACACAAGTCAACTGTAGTGCGTAGCCAGTTTGAACTGATGATCTCTGAGGTTGATATTTTGTCTAAGCTGCAACAGATTGCGACTTGGGTGAGTTGGCTTCGTCAGTATTAAGTAACCCATGATGTGGTCACCTCGTTGACGTCGATATTCACGACTGTACAATCTCAGGGATTGCAATCTGCGCTAGTAGAAGAAAGGAAAAATCCTCTAACGAGACCAGGGACGCCTGGCCTGGATCGCATATCCCACATGAGGCCTCACGTAGGCGTTCAGCATTTGCGGAAAGACTGATGGTTCCAAATTGCCGAAAGCGCTCCGTAAAAGTCCAAGATGTTGACTGGCTCTTTTTGATGCCTTTTCAGCCTGTCTCGAGCAGCCAAGATCATCCGGCACGATCATCCTGAGGTCGCTTTTTTGGGGAGCACTGTTGCAACTGCTGGTTCCCAAGTCGATATTCATGGGTATGCTGATAGCGTATGCTTACGAAATTGCACTTCACCACATTGAACTGGAGCAGGTTATCGGTTAACCACATATAAGCCCAGTTGAGATCGCGCTGTAGCGCAATATGTTCTTCCGCTCTCGATGTCATGCCAAATTTTGACATCATCTGCAAATAGTAAGAAATCCAATTGCAGTATCCTGGCAAGTTCGTTAATGAATGTTAGGAATAAATGTGACCCCAGTACCGATCGTTGGGGCACACCACACTGGACGTCAACTGGGTCGGAAATGGAGCTGCGAACTCCCACATTCAGCTGACCTTGAGCGAAGAGGTTGCCGATCCCACCGAGCACAGGGTCACCGATTCGATAGCTTCGAAGCTTGTGCAGGCGAACGCGGTGGTCCAAACAATCGAACGCTTTCGAGAAGTCCAGGTAGATAACGTCGACTCACACTCTGTCATCGGCTGACTCTGTACAGCTTGCTCGGTCTAGCAGCAAGTTTGTAATGCAGGATCGATTTTGGCGGAATTCATGTTGCTGTGACACTAGGATGTGGTTACTCTCAAAATATCCCATGAGCGCATCTGCAATTATACGTTCCATTACTTTGGATAAAACTGGGAGGAGAGTGATTGTACGGTAGTTCGAGGGCTTCGCACGGTTACCACTTTTGTAAATAAGATTGACTAGTCGATGTTTTCACGTTTTGGGAACCGGCATTTCGTCGAGACAACGTTGAAAGAACCGAGCTAATGCTTCGGCAAGGTTTATGGCCGCTGTCTTCAATGCATTCGGTTTGATGTTGTTCACCCCAGGTGCTGTGCACGCGCAATGACATTAGCGTTTTCATAACATTGGCTGCCGTGAATGATACATGGTTTGACCCTGGTGGCAATGAGAGCTGTGTCAAAAGCGGATGAAATGATGATTCAGTTCGGAAAGTATGGATGAAGTGTTGGCGAAGCCCGTTGGCTGCATCTTGTGCGGTTTGCGCAAGACCATCTGTTGCCCGTAAAACCAGGTTCCCGCGCTGCACTCTGCGGAGCTTGTTGATGTGTCTATACAGCAACTTGGGATTTGCACTGAATTTCGCCACTGAGTTCTGTTGGTGTAGGAGTTTGTCTTCGCGGATCAACTTGACGCAGTGGTTTCCTTGAATTATGTAAGCATCCAGGTCAGGTTATTTGGACAGACGTTGTAAGCGCGCCATGCATTTTCTAGTACGGCCCCACCTGAACGAATTCACTTTCTTCGGGCGAAAGTCCTTACTTTCTGAGGCGTTTGCCACTAGCTCAGTGAATTGGGTGACGAACAACATTCAAGCGATATCGGGCGGCTTCTTTGCCAGGAAGGACCAGTCGGTTTCTTGAACGAGGATGTACTGCATATCGTAATTTGTAACGACGTACGTTTCCACGTTCTTCTCATTGATGTACTCCGAGTAACAGATGTAACGAAAAAGCAACGTCGCGTGATCGCTACGACCAAGTGATGCATTTATGGTCACGGTGTCGATCGTTGGTGAGTACAAGGTCCAAAACAGAGGGTATCACCCGTTCGGAATCGTGTGGGAGAGATGACGTGGTTGTACAGAGGTACATCGACAATCACCTCTTGCAAATCAGCTTTGAATTGTTCGCTGTGCGATGCTGGAACCTCTATTAGGTGCAGGTTCACGTCCTCCACCAGAAGGACGTGACTGTATGGTGGACTCGTTTTACCGCAGAGGCTAAGCATTGATCCATTTCCAAGACGAACATTGGAGGGCGGTAAACTATTGCTAGTAAACACACATCACTACGTCTTAGGTGTATACGACACCAAACGGAATCGATGACTTTCGTTTCTGGGTCCTCTATGATATCAACATGCAGGTGGGATGGATAATACAAGATCACTCACCCTCCTCTGCTAGCTCGATGGTTTCGTATGGAAGTCTTACATTGGTGACCTCCGTGTTCAACCATGTTTCGGTGACCATAACTAGGTCCCAAGGCATGGAGACCTGACGAATACGAAGTTCGTGTAGCTTGCTGAGAAGACATTGTGCATTGGTATACAAGGTAAGGGCACCGGTGCTTAGAAGCGTGTTTGTGGATGCTGGTTTCCGGTGAGGGTCTATGCCGACCCTGACGGGGCTGGCTTCCGGTCGTATTTTTGTAGGACCGATGACGCAGGCCCTAAGGCCAGTTCAGGTTGTTGTATAGAGTTCTCAGCGCCAACAAGGGTGACAATCCTGTCATCCTTCAGCTGTCGGTGTGTTTTGGCATTGTCTCCGTTCTGAGCTACAAGGTGACAGAATTGTAATGGTAAATTGTCTGCTCAGGTGTACATTGTCTCTCTGTGGCCTGGTGCCTATCGCCTGTATACGTATTTCGGATGGCAGCATTTTACTCTTTTTGTGCCACATTTTATTTGCATGTTCTGCCATCAGTTCGGAGTGCAACGATACTTTCATCACTCGGGGCCCGCACCCTTTGTAGTTAGGGGAAAGCGGTAACCTTGATGTCGAATTTGCGATAACATTTTCGAGTGGGATCACTTCATGAATAAAACGCCATTCATCCCAGTCATGCGCTTTGGCCTCTATCTCGCTTA